CATGATGCTCCATGAAGTTTCCTAGTCAAGGTAAATGCTGTGTGATTTCATTACATGAGGAACTTAGAGTAGTCATATGCATAGAGAGAGGTTGAATGGAAGTTCCCAGGTCTTGGGGGAGGGGAAATGGGGAATTTGTGTTTAACAGGCATACGGTTTCAGGTAAAGATGAAAAAAGGGTCCAGAGATAGATGATGGTGAAGGTTCCATAATAATCATATATGTACTCAGGTGCTACAGAACTGTGCATGTTAAAATGGGAAAATTTATCTTATGATATTTCTCCACAGAAAAAGCTTTTTTATAAAGTGCTTGGGAGGAGGGGGACAGGGGCTGTGGAATAGCAGGGAAAGCCTCCGCCTGCAGTTTAGGCATCCATGTGGGCGCTGGTTCAAGTGTCCCAGTTGCTCCACTTCCGAGCCATCTCTTTACTAAGGCTTGGGAAAGCAGTAGAAGATGGCCCAAGTCCTTGGACCCCTGCACCCGCTTGGGAGACCCAGAAGAAGCTCCTGGTTCCTGGCTTTGGATCGGTCCAGCTCAGGCCATTGTTGCCATCTGGGGAGTGAACCAGTGGATGGAAGATCTTTCTCTTCCTCTGCCTCTCTGTAATTCTCCCTTTCAAGTAAATAAATGAATCTTTAAAACAAAAAAAGTGCTTGGGGGAACAGTGCTGTGCCATAGTAGGATAAGCCTCCGCCTGCAGCGCCGGCATCCCTTGTGGGCGCTAGTTTGTGTCCTGGCTGCTCCACTTCTGATCCAGCTCCCTGCCGATGTGCCTGGCAAAGCAGTGGAAGATGGACCAAGTGCCTGGGCCCCTGTACCCATGTGGAAAACCCGGAGGAAGCTTCTGGCTTCAGATCAACCTAGCTCTGACCATTGTGGCCATTTAGGTAGTGATTCAGCAGATGGAAGACCTTTCTGTCTCTCTGTCTATAACTCTACCTCTCAAATACATAAATAAATCTTGGTATATAGTACTATAGTACCTATTAAATAATAGCTATTTGTTACTATTTAGTATTAACACAGCCTCTAGGTTTATTGTTTGAACAAACATTATTGAGCATGTACTGTGTGCCAGGTACTGTGTAGGCACTGAAGAAATGTTAGCTAGAGGGGCTGGTGCTGTGGCGCAGTGGGTTAACGCCCTGGCTTGAAGCATGAAGTGCCAGCATCCCATATAGGCGCCGGTTCAAGTCCCGGCTGCTCCTCTTCCTATCCAGCTCTCTGCTATGGCCTGGGAAAGCAGTAGAAGATGGCCCAGGTCCTTGGGCTCCTGCACCCATGTGGGAGACCCGGAAGAAGCTCCTGGCTCATGGCTTCAGATCGGCGCAGCTTTAGCCATTGCGGCCATCTGGGGAGTGAATCAGCGAATGGAAGACCGACCTCTCTCTGCCTCTCCTCTCTGTGTAACTCTGACTTTAAAATAAATAAACAAATCTTTAAAAAAAAAAAAAAGAAAAAGAAATGTTAGCTAGAATTATATGGGATTACGAGGAAAAGGTGAGATATGATATGGATAAAGGACTTAGTGCAGAAATCATGGCAAATTATTGAATGTGTTGAAGGTCATGGAGAGAAAAGAGTATTAATAGGTAATCATTGGGATTAAAACTAAGACTGGAGGGATGCAATTGTCATTGATGGAAACGAGTCAGGAAGGAGAGTTAGTTTGGTGGTAGGAAACATTGGATTTATTAAAAGAGAGAGAGAGAGATCTTCATCAGCTGGTTCATTCCTCAAATGGCTGCAATAACCAGGGCTACGCCAGGCCGGAGCCAGGAGCTTCTTCCAGGTCTCCCACATGGGTACTGGCACCCATATTGGATGTGGCATTGCAGGCAACATTATACCACAGTGCTGGCCGCTATCATCTTTAAAAAAAAAAAAAAAAAAGATTTATTTTATTTGAGAGACAATATGACAGAGAGAAAGATCTTCCAACCACTGTCCTGACATGGCCAGGGGCTGGGCCAGGCCAAAGCCGGGAGCCTGGAACTCCATCTGGGTCTCCTACATGAGTGGAGGGACCCAAGTATTTGGGCCATCTTCTGCTGCTTTCCCAGGACTGCTGCTTTCCCAGGCCATTAGCAGGGAGCTGGATCAGCAGTGGAGCAGCCGGGACTCCACCTGATGTCCATATGGGATGCCAGCATTGCTGTCAGTGGCCTAACCTGCTACACTGCAATGCTGACCCCTGGATTCCATTTTATACCTTTTTTTTTTTTTTTTTTTTTTTTAAGATTTGTTTATCTATTTGATAGAGTTACAAAGAGGCAGAGAGAGCACTCTCATCCGGCTGGTTGACTCCCCAAATGGCCGCAGCGGCCGGAGCTGGGCCGATCCAAAGCCAGGAGCCAGGAGCTTCTTCCAGGTCTCCCATGCAGGTGCAGGTGGTCCTTGGGCCATAGCAGAGAGCTGGATCAGAAGTGGAGCAGCAGGGATTTGAACCGATACCCATATGGGATACCAGCACTGAAGGCAGTGGCTTTACCCGCTATGCCACAGCACCGGCCCTAAAACCCTCACTTAAAAATATATTACAGGGGCCAGTGCTGTGGTATAGCAGGTAAAAGCTGCTGCCTGCAGTGCCGGCATCCCATATGGGCACTGGTTCAAGTCCCGGCTGCTCCACTTCCAATCCAGCTCTTTGCTCTGGCCTGGGAAAGCAATAAAAGATGGCCCAAGTCCTTGGGCCCCTGCACCCATATGGGAGACCTGGAAGAATCTCCTGGCTCCTGGCTTCAGATGGGTGCAGCTCTGGCCGTTGCATCCAATTGGGGAGTGAACCTGTGGATGGAAGACCTCCCCCCCCCACCCCCTTCTCTATCTGTGTAACTCTGACTTGCAAATAAATAAATAAATCTTTAAAAAAAAATGTATTACAAGGGTGGCCATTCCATTGTGGTGTAGTGGATTAAGCTGCTGCTTGGGTCACCCACATTTATTTTGTAGTGCCTGACCGAAGTCGTGGCTACTCTATGCTTATGATCCACCCTCCTGCTAATGAGCCTTGGAGGGAGTGGAAGGTCAATTTTCAAACCAAGAGATATGCATACATAAATATGAGTTATGAGTAACATATTATATCTACCTCCTGATACCGTCTTGTGTGTTGGAAGTGATCATGTTTGAGTAGTGCTTAGCTTAGGGCTAGGCCAGGAGTGACTATTCAATGTATGGAAACCACTCTTGAGATCTGCTATATTTTGAAGTAATATTTCCAAGGAATGGGGTCATCAAGGACGTTTTATAAGAATATAAATTAATTTGGCAGGCTTGGAAATTTATCCTGCATCCTGAGGTAACCATGATTTGTGTCTTCTGAAGCCAAGTGAGAAAGCACAGATTTGTCTGGTTTTCCGTTGGCATCCTGCTGATCTCTGTGTGCGTGTGTTTGAGAAGATAAGTTGTAGTTGAGATACAACAGAGCTCATTTGAAAGTGAAGCTCATTTGAAAGACATGCTACAACTGGAGGCAAAGAAGAATCTTGATTAGTTCTAGATGCCTTGACATCACACAGGCAAAATTTCCCTGCTAATATGGTTAATACAAGTTGTTGGATCTCCCCGTTTTGGGTTTTATGTGTATTATGTGACTGATTCTGAAAGAAAAACTGTCAATTATTGCAATTGCTTAAGAAGTTTTCTTTTGGAGATGGGCGTTGTAGCACAGTGGGTTAAGCTGCCACTTGAGATTTACGTATCCTGTATTGGAGCGCTTAGTTCAAGTGTTGGCTCCTTCATGCTTCTGATGCAGCTTCCTTCTAACTCACCTGGGAGGCCGCAGATGGTGGTCAGGTACGTGGCTTCCTGCTACCCACATGGGAGACCTGGATGGAGTTCCTGGCTTCAGCCTGGTCCAACCTCTGCTGTTATAGGCATTTGTGGAGTGCCTGTAATAAAAATTTATGATTAGTATTTTTAGTGAATCTCTCTCTCCCTCCCCCTCTTCCTCTAACACCATCTCTGTCAGTCTGCCTTTCAAATAAATAAAATCTTAATGTTTTAAAGAAGTTTTCTTTCTTTTTTTTATTTTTTATTTTATTTTTTATTTTTGACAGGCAGAGTGGATAGTGAGAGAGAGAGACAGAAAGAAAGGTCTTCCTTTTTTTTGCCGTTGGTTCACCCTCCAATGGCCGCTGCGGCCGGCGCATTGCGCTGATCTGAAGCCAGGAGCCACGTGCTTTTCCTGGTCTCCCATGTGGGTGCAGGGCCCAAGCACTTGGGCCATCCTCCACTGCACTCCCTGGCCATAGCAGAGAGCTGGCCTGGAAGAGGGGCAACCGGGACAGAATCCGGCGCCCCGACCGGGACTAGAACCCAGTGTGCCGGCGCTGCAAGGCGGAGGATTAGCTTATTGAGCCATGGCGCCGGCCAGAAGTTTTCTTTCTAAGGCACCAATTTTTCATGTTTTGTGTCTTTGGAAAATTATCCTGATTCTGCTGTTTAAATGCATTTCTCCCCCTTCAGAAGCTCATTTCATGGGGTTAGATTAGTAATTTTATTTTATTTTATTTTTTTTATTTTTGACAGGCAGAGTGGACAGTGAGAGAGAGAAACAGAGAGAAAGGTCTTCCTTTGCCGTTGGTTCACCCTCCAATGGCTGCTGCTGCCGGCGCACTGCGTCCCGCGCACCGCGCTGATCCGATGGCAGGAGCCAGGTACTTATCCTGGTCTCCCATGGGATGCAGGGCCCAAGCATTTGGGCCATCCTCCACTGCACTCCCTGGAAGAGGGGCAACCGGGACAGAATCCGGCGCCCCGACCAGGACTAGAACCCGGTGTGCCGGTGCTGCAAGACGGAGGATTAGCCTGGTGAGCCACGGCGCCGGCCAGATTAGTAATTTTTTATTTGTGCTTTTTTCCATGTTTCTGCAGACCACTTCTAAATCTGAATCTGGGTCCTTTGTTCTTTAATGTACTCCATCTTGTATTAAAATAGTGGACATTAGAGAGCAGGAATAACCTTTTGACCTTGTTGTTTTCTTTCATATCAGAATACCCTGTTGCAGCAGCTGGGCGTCGCTCCTTTTGCTGACGGCCCTTGGCCCTTGTACATCCACCCTCAAGGCCTCTCCGTGCTTTCACGTCTCCTGCTCCTCTGGCAGCATAAAGCTGGCACCCAAGGTGACCCTGACGTCCCTGAATGCCTGAAAGTGTGGGACAGGTAAGGTAACTCCAAGAGAAACTCTACATAGAAGGTTTTGTACTTTTTTTATTTTTATTTTTTGACAGGCAGAGTTAGTGAGAGAGAGAGAGAGAGACAGAGAGAGAGAGAGAGAGAAAAAGTTCTTCCTTCCATTGGTTTACCCCCAAAATGGTCACTACGGCTGGTGCACTGCGCTGATCCATAGCCAGGAGCCAGGTGCTTCTCCTGGTCTCCCATGGGGTGCAGGGTCCAAGCACTTGGGCCATCCTCCACTCCTTCCTGGGCCACAGCAGAGAGCTGGCCTGGAAGAGGGGCAACTGGAACAGAATCTGGCGCCTCGACTGGGACTAGAACCCAGGGTGCCGGCGCCACAGGCAGAGGATTAGCCTAGTGAGTCGCAGCGCCTGCTGGTTTTGTACTTTTTAAAAACATCTGTTTGACTTCTTTGTAGTTATCTTTGGCTTTGAGATCTTACTGTGATCATAAGTATTTTGCATGGGGACGATGGATGTGTGAAGGGCGAGGTGCAGGAAGATGTGCTGTTAAAAAAGAAGTATGTTGATTACGATTTAATAAAGAATGTTCCTATTACATGTGAGGGATTTGATGATCATCATTAGATAGGGCCTGGATCTTAAACATAACCAATTTTATCTTGACCTGATATTTTTGAAAGAGAGGGAAGGCAACCCTGTCCTTGGTTGTTTTACTTTCAGCATGAATCCATTTAGATTGACTTTTTGGATAAATTTTAAAGAAATTTTTCCCTTGGGGGAAGCTCAGATTAATCATACAAATCCTCCTTAGATGGACCTGTATTTGCCATTTTTGTTTCCATGGTTAGTAGTCTTCAAAGCAGTTTGTTTTCCTAAAAGGCTTTGCTTTTCTATTCTCCATTCTAGGATCAAATAGCTCTAATGCTGGATTTGAGAAATCATAAACCTCCTTGAATGCCAGCTACCCAAATAAATTTTTCCTGGTGGAATCTTGCAAAAAGGCAGAGAGGATGGGAATGGGAGGCTGGGATTGGGGATGCTGTTGTACAGAAAAAGGAGCCCCTTTTTAAACACAGATGTTTTTCATAGTTTCCAAAGGCAGTGCAGACAATTGGCTGGTTTTTTTTTTTTCTTCAGAAAACCTGTTCTGATAAGTTCTCTGAATTGTATAATTTCTCTTTTATAGTTTGATAATATACTGTGTTATTTTTGACTATTATGCAGTGCTTTTAATGTTAGCATAAACTCTTGAAACTAGAATTACTTTTTTTTGAAGATTTATGTTGCTTGAAAGTTGCACAAAGAGAGAAGGAGAGGCAGAGAGATTGAGGTCTTTCATCCGCTGGTTCACTCCCCAGTTGGTTGAAATGGCCAGAGCTGTGCCAATCCGAAGCCAGGAGCTTCTTCTGGGTCTCCCACTCGGGTGCAGGGTGAAAGGAAAGGCCACCACAAAACACACCAAACACCAGAGTAAGGGAAAAGGCTTATTGTCAGGTGGGGGAAACCTGACAGGCTGCCTCCCCGTGCACAGAGAGAACAACAGCCTGTACTGGGAAAACAGGTGTTACACAGCTTTGTGGAGTTAAGGAAGGGGGAGCGGCAAGTCCTGCTAGGGTGGGGGTGGAGCTGACACTTGTGATTGGGCTATTTGGTCATCTGACTTCTAGTAAGCTGGGCTGGGCTTAGGAAGATGGCACCATTTTACTTACACAGGGGCCCAAGGACTTGGGCCATCTTCTACTGCTTTCCCAGGTCATAGTAGAGAGCTGGATTGGAAGTGGAGCAGCCGGGACTAGAACTGGCGCCCATATGTGTTGTCGGCACTGTGGTGGCGGCATTACCTGCTACAGCACAGCTCTGGTCCCTAGAATTATATTTAGAGAATCAAAGTGTAGGGAAAAGTCATCAAATTGGTTCTTTCTGCATGTATTTACCTGTTACAAAGCAGCAGCAGCAGCACTTTTGGGAGTGATTCCTGGTCTTCCCGTCATCACACATCAACTGCCGTAGCCACAGTTGAGAGCTGAGGAGTTCTTAGACATGTTTTATGGCCAAATCTAACTTTTTTGTTGCCAAAACTTATCTCTTTGTGTTCTTTTTACCATGTAAATTTCTTCCCTTTTGTGTTTTTTATCTTAAAGCCTGGGTTTAAGAAGCTTAATTCTAGCACTTGACTTAGTAACTCTTTTCTGTTTTCTCATGGTAGATTTTTGTCTACAATGAAGCAGAATGCCCTGCAAGGTGTGGTGCCCAGTGAGACAGAGGACTTGAACGTAGAGCACCTGCAGCTGCTGCTCCTCATCTTCCACAACTTCACCGAGCAGGGCCGGCGCACCGTATTCACCCTCTTTGTCCAGATTATCCAGGAGCTGAGTGGCCACATGGATGCTCAGATGCGCTCCGTGCCTCTCATCCTGGCCCGCCTCCTGTTGATCTTTGATTACCTACTTCATCAGTACTCCAAAGCCCCTGTTTATCTGTTTGAGCAGGTACAGGTCAACACATTCTGTTTGCTTTACTGGTTTCAAAAACTTTGTTCTTCGTTGAGTCTTTCATGGTCCAAAGCCAACATGAGTTGCTCACCTTTCCTTTCCAGGGTTGGTGGCGGCTTACGGAAACTACTGAGACTTGTAGAAGTTGCTTGCACTTGATGTTTAGCCATGACCGACGCAGATAGATTGCTGGCTTTGATGTGTTTGTTAATGTTGGAACATAGGCTTTGTTCCTGTGAGGGGCCTTGTTTTGCCTATGGCCTTGGGCCCCAGTGAGGACGGTCGATCCTCTGGATGTCTAGATTCTCTATCTGTGTGTCAAAAATTTTTGAGGAGCAAAATACTCAAAAAACTTAAAGACATCTGTACTGCATATGTGCAGACTTTTTTCCCCCTAAACAATACAGTGTAAGAACTGCATGTTGCTTATACTTTGTTAGGTCTTGATAGTAATCTAGAGATGATTTGAAGTCTATTGAAGAATGTGCACAGGTTGTATGCAGGTCCTACACCATTTTATGTAAAGAACTTGAGTATCTACACAGTTTGGGATGCTTGCGGGTCCTGGAACCAATCCCTATTGAATATACTGAAGAGGAATCACATTCTTCAATGGTTGAAGGACGGCCAAGCAGTAAATTGTATGGATTAGTAAAGTGTTTGGTTGAGGTTTGAGGGGGTGAGTTAAAGGGTTACCTGCATTTCTGAAAACGTTTTGTTGGAGCACTGTTCCCTCTGTGCTCCATCAAAAAATGCTTTCCAGAAGTGGAAATGCTTTTCAGTTTTTTCTTTTGGTTTGTGAGTGTCTCATGCTTTGATACCTACCAATTGATTATCATGGCTGGAGTGGAAAGTAGCATAGTGACTGTGTATCTTTCTTAATTTGTGTAATTTCTGTTTTAAAAGGTGCAGCATAACCTGCTGAGTCCTCCTTATGGGTGGGCAAGTGGATCCCAGGACAGCAACAGCCGCCGGGCAACCACGCCTCTCTACCATGGGTTTAAAGAGGTAGAAGAAAACTGGGCTAAGCATTTTTCTTCAGGTAAGAAAGAAGGAGTCACCAAGAAAATGACTTACTGGTTCACTTTGGCAGGGCTGAATTTTAAACTGGCAGATGGCTAGAGGATCTTTGCCCACCTGCTATAGTCTGCTCTCTGGGTGTCTCTAATGTACCTGTAGATTCAAGATGTTCTTAGGAATTGACTCCCATATGCTCCAAATTTATTTGTAAAAATGTGGCAGTAATAATTAAGATTCCTTGTACATGGATTCTTGCCACTTTTGGTAAATAAATTTAATTTTCCTCAGTTTCTCTTAGAGTTGTGGTTCTGACCACAACTCAGCTTTCCTTCATGTGTTGGTGACAGACTTGTGGAAATAATGGGAACACGGTGTTCTCTCCAGCATGTGCTCTCAAACTGTAGCCTTCCTTTCTTGTAACCAGCTACTTCTTGTTTTCATTTTCAGTGTGTATTTGCTCTCAGCCTGAGGGTTATTGGATGTTAACTGTATTTTGTAGAAACTTTGATGAAGCCTTACTATGAGTTTACAGTCATACCTTAACAAGCTCATTTCTTATTGAGGAAACAAATAGCATTAAGGTTTAATGCGTTCAGTTTAATGATAGAATTTTGTAGTTATCCTGATTGTAGAGCATATTGGTTAACTCCTATAGCTGTGGTTCTCAGCTGGGATGGTTTTTGTCCCAGTTCAGGTGACTTGGCAATGTCTGGAGACATCACTGGTTGTGTCAGCTCGGGGAGTGCTTCCAGCTTTCACTGGGTAGAAGCCAGGGATGCTGTTCGGTCTGTACCGCACGGGACGGATCTCTCAGCAAAGAATTATCTTGGCCCCACATCTCAGTAGTGCCAACTTTGAGAAATCTTATTTGGAAGTATTTTCATAGATTTTACAGTTTATACTTGTTTGGCAGAGAAATGAAACCATTCTTACTGCTTTTCAGATGCTGTCCCACAACCCAGATTCTACTGTGTCCTGTCCCCAGAAGCCTCAGAGGATGATTTGAACCGACTTGATTCTGTGGTACCAGGAATTTCAAAGCTCCATTTTATAAATTGTTTGGGTAGTCTCCAGTAAGATCAGGCTATCAAGGGGAGAGGGAATGATTTAGCTTTTGTAATGAGGGAATTTGGCCTGTACTAGGATTTCAGCTTATTCTAAAAGGAAAATGTATTTTGAGATTTATTTGCTGAGCTGTATTTTTCCTGTAGGGTCATCCTTTCTGATGGTTAACACCCTTCATGCATTATTTCTGAAGATTGTCCTAAGTTAGCACTTGTCATGTGCAAATATATTAATGGACAGAAGGAGATTCCTCACTGTCATTCTAAAGCCTGAGGTTGTGTGCTCAGAGTAGCTCACTGGCTGAGTGAAGCCCCAGAGTTAGAATCTGCTGCAAGGAGAAATTAAGGATAATTAATGGGCTGTTTTGTCAGTCATGAGATTGAGCGTTCAAGCATAGGTAGCAGGAAAAAATGTTTTAAAAAATGAGAAATGTTTCTTTCTTGCTTGCTGTTAGGCATGTGATGTGCTTTTCTCCAAGCTTGTTAAATACGACGAGCTTTACACTGCCCTCACAGCCCTGCTTGCAGCTGGGTCCCAGCTTGACACGGTCAGGAGGAAGGAAAACAAGAATGTGACAGCCCTGGTAAGACCAGCAAGTCCCCGCGTGAGTGTGGGCTGTGTGTGGTAGGGTTTGATGATTCTCTCAGAAATTTCCTTCTGGGATCTAATCAGTTTATTGAATGCTGTGGTGTTTCTGGGTCATTTGGTTGGTTATTTTCACTTCACAAATAATTTTATCATTTTTCCCTTTTTTTTTTTTTTTTTTTTGGTTAGTGCTGAGAGAAGTATGACGTTGAGAGCTAATAACCTTGAAATACTGTATCTCCCATGGGCACTGATTGATTTGTGATAATGAAAGCCTTGGGGCCAGCGTTTTGCTGTAATTGGTTAAGCTGCTTCCTGCAGCGTTGGCATCCCATGTAGGTGCCAGTTTGAGATCCAGTTGTTCCACTTCTGATCCACATTCCTGCTAATGTGCCTGGGAAAGCAAGCAGAAGATGGCTAAGTGGATGACCTGGAAGAAGCTCCTGGCTTTGATTTGGCCCAGCCCCGGCCCTTGCGGCTTTTTGGAGAGTGAACCAGTGGATGAAAAATAATCTCTCTCTCTGTTTCTCTTTCTCCCCTTCTCCCCTTCCCTCCCACCATCCTCTCTGTGCCTCTCCCTCTCTTTCTCTTTGTAACTGTGCGTTTCAAATAAATAAAATAAATCTTTAAAAAATATAAAAAACCCTCACGTTTTTACTTAAACTGTTTTTAAAAAAGTTATGTATATAATTTATTTGAAAAGCAGAGAAAGAGATCTTCCATTCTCTGGTTCAGTCCCCAAATGCCTGCAGCAGCCAGGAACTCAGTCCAGGTCTCCCAAGTGGGTGGCCGGGCCATCACCTGCTGCCTGTCAGGGTGCACATTAGCAAGAAGCTGGGCTCAGGAGTAGAGCTGGGAATTGAACTCAGGCACTTTGATATGAGATGCAGGCATCACAAATGGTGTCTTAACTGTCATGCTAAATCCCCATCCCTGAGATTTTGTATGGTCCTTTCAGTGAGTGTCTCTATGAGAGGACTTCAAAAAGTTAATGCAAAATATATATTATAAAAAAACTGCATGATTTCAAATTTTTTTCCACTAAAATAAGCTTATCTTTTAATTCCATTTTTCCATGAACATTTTGAAGTGTTCTTGCATTTGTGGAAGTCCTCACAGCAATTGTAGGCCACAGGAGGGCTGGATGATTGAGAGCCTAGCAAGCAGAAGGTCCTGCTCTGTTTTGGTTACTTGGCATATCATTGGGTAGCCAAAATTGTCTTCAAAAAGCCTTTGGGATTGTAAACAGTGGAGAATACAAATGCTGATTCTGTGCCTGCTCCTTTTGTTGCTTCCAGGAGGCCTGTGCCCTTCAGTATTACTTCTTAATATTATGGAGGATCCTAGGAATTTTGCCACCATCAAAGACTTACATGAATCAGTTGGCCATGAACTCTCCTGAGATGAGTGAATGTGACATCTTACACACCCTGCGATGGTCTTCCCGCCTCAGGATCAGCTCCTATGTCAGCTGGATAAAGGTACCTCAGTGGAACACAGAACTTGCTGCCGTGGGGTATTCAAAGCCAAAGTGTCTGTGCTTATTGGAACTTTTAAATTAAAGATAACGAAAGCTTTGGACTCTGTCTCCTAAGTCATTTCTTCTCGCTGTCCAAATAGGATCACCTTATCAAACAGGGGATGAAGATGGATCATGCTGGCTCTCTCATAGAACTGGCCTCTACCAAGTGTAGCTCAGTGAAGTACGATGTTGAAATTGTAGAGGAATACTTTGCTCGACAGGTATGTTATTGTTGGAATTGTAGTGATAGAACTTGGCTCCTACTACAGCCTTTTGTGATCACTAATTAGTATCTTGGCTATTTTTAAAGATCTCGTCGTTCTGTAGCATCGACTGCACCACCATCTTGCAGCTCCATGAAATTCCCAGCCTGCAGTCCATTTACACCCTGGACGCTGCCATCTCCAAGGTCCAGGTCTCATTGGATGAGCATTTTTCTAAGATGGCTGCTGAGACCGATCCTCAGAAATCATCTGAGATTACCAAGAATCTCCTTCCAGCCACGCTGCAGCTCATTGACACCTATGCATCATTCACCAGGTGTGCTGGACTGCCCACCCGACACGGCAGCAACCCGTCACTGGGCCCATGGCCCAGTGACTCAGTTTACACTTTCTTTTCATCAGCATAGGGTCCCATTCTGTACCCCCCATCTCCTTCCCCTCCGCACTGGGTATAATGTTTTCTTCTCCAACTTGAATGGGAACCTGATGAGGGGATTTTTAGGTAGTTCAGGAGGAAGTTCAGTTTTTATAATTCTTTAAATATTTTCTGGCACTTTACTTGTAGGGTACAAAGAAAGATAATGTAATTCTCCTAAACACTATCATTTCTGTTACTGAGATGAAGCTCTTTAAATGCTTTTGAAGTTTCATGATATGTAGTTAGCTGAAAACATTCTGAATGAGTTATTGGTTGGAATTTCAGCTCTTCCTGTAACAGACATTGCAGATTATGTGTCCTGTAGACTTTGGCCTGCATGTTTAAATATTTTAAAATTCAGTTTAAAAAGATGTTAAAACCAATGGATAGAAGAACTTTCTGTCTTAGTCACTGTCTTTTAGATAAGTAAATTAATACATCTTAAAAAAACTAACAGAAGATACTTCTCTCCCTCTTTTTTATTTTTTTGTAAATGTTTATTTGAAATGGTTACAGAGTGAGAGGGAGAGACAGAGAGATATCTTTGATATGCTGGTTCACTCCCCAGATGGCTACAACAGGCAAGACCGGGCCAGGCTGAATCCAGAAGCCAGGAGCTGCTTCTGGGTCTCCCACATGGGAGGCAGGGGCCCAAGTACTTGGGCCTTTTTCTTCTACTTCCCAGGCAGTTACCAGAGAGCAGGATTAGAAGTGGAGCAGCCAGGATAACCATATGGGTTGCTGGTGTTGCAGGCTGTGGCTTTACTCACTTTCACATCTCCGCCTCCCCTTTCTCTTTCTTACTCTCCCTCTTAACCTAGTGAATAAATCTGTAAAAAAAATAAATAAATAAACCACTAGATAGAAAATCTTTTTCTGTCTCTCCCATCATCTCTTTCTGTCATTGTGCCTTTCAAATAAGTATATCTAAATCTTAAAAAAGAAAATTGGGAGACTATTTGAAACTTTTTTGGCATTTTTTGAATTGGAAGAAGTAGCAACACTAGGCTTGACTTCCCACAGGACAGCAATTTAGTAGAGCTGAGCAGTGGCTTCTGTTTGTAGCATTTTTCATCTGACCTTTCTTAAGCCCATTTCCTATACCTGGTCCCTGTCAGACCTCACTGTTGAGCCCCTCTTCTGTGGGGTTTTCATGCTCACAGAGGCCTGGATCTTTGCAAAATGTAACTGTGTGTTTTAGTGTGAATGCCTTGAAGTAGAGAGAGGGCCGTCAGGTGGCAAGGTTTTTAACAAGTATGAGCAGTAAACATAAACAGTAAGTATGAGTGCCTGAAACGTTAGGTGCTTTTCTAAGTGCTTCAGATGCAACAGTGAGCAAAACAGACCACATTTTTGCCCCCTGGAGCTTGTCTTGTCTGGATTATTGGTACTCTCAACTGTGTTTAATAGTGAACTGAGGTGCAAGTTTTCAGCTTGTCTAGAGTTAGTGCCTCCTAGCTATGATGGGATCAAGTTTCTGTGGCTTCACCTACCCCCCTCCCCCGCCCCCTTTTTTTCTTCAGAGCCTATTTGCTGCAGAACTTTAGTGAAGAGGGAACCACTGAAAAACCTTCCAAGGAGAAGCTGCATGGCTTTGCTGCTGTTTTGGCTATTGGCTCTAGTAGGTGCAAGGCGAATACACTCGGTGAGTGAACGAGAGTACCTGTGGATAATGCTGTCACTATTACTACTAGTAGTACTGCTTCCCTCCCTCCCGGCCTGTTTATGGCACTTTCCTTTTTTTGGAGTCTCCTTGCTGTGTGTTGGGCATTAGCATGGGTTTATCTGTCTTGATCTTCACATAACCTATCAGGTAAATATTGTTGGTATCTCCTTTTTATTCATTGGGAAATTGATATTTAGAGAAGTTATTTGCCCAACATCCTACATCCTGGATGTGATGGAGTTGCGATCCAAGCTGAGATCAGTTGGTTCCAAGGCATTGCGCTATGTTCTTTTCATTTCTTGTGATCAGAAAGACTAGTCAGCTACTACCTCCTGCTTGGAAAAATCTTTCCTGGATTAGGAATGATCTGATGGAAATAATGAATGTAAAATCAAAGGACTTAAGCAGGATTGGAGTTAGAGTGCAGCAGTTTCCCTTTATAATTATATCCTTTTGTGTTCTCCTTAAATTCAAGCTTTAACTACAGTTTTTAGTATTTGTTTGAAAGTAGAGAGAGACAGAGATTTCCCATCTGCTAGTTGACTCCCCAAATGCTTGCAGTAGGCAGGACTGGACCAGATCAAAGCCAAAAGCCAAGAGCTCAATCTGAGTGTTGGTGGCAGGGACTCAAGTACTTGAGCTGTGTCCCAGGGTGCACATTAGCCTGAAGCTGGAATCAGGAGCAGAGACAGGACTTAAACCCAAGCACTGCAATGTGGGATATGAGCATCCCAAATGGTATCTTAACTGTTGTGTCAAATGCCTGCCCCTAAATAGTTTTCATTTAGTGCTACTTAACTAAATGCTGTTTTAAATGTGTGTTAGTTAAAAAAAAAAGTGTGTTAGTGATCCCTGCCCTCATGATTTATCATAAGGAGAAGAGATTAAAACAATATCTGTTCTAAGAAGGGGGAGCAGATGTTTAATGGTGATTTTTATCATCACTTGCTGTGATTCACCACCCTTTGCATCATGTTTTCAGTTTTCTTGTAATATTAGAAAATGAATGCGATAGGAAATGAAAACCTTATAATTAGTATTGTTAGCTATTAAGCAGTTAGCTGGTTCTTGGCTATAATACTGTTGTTAGAATGTCCATCTAGTAATTACTTTGACAACCTGGGCTACAGTGTTTTTTTCTGTGTTTGGGCTGGGCTTGTTAAATGCTCTGGGTCGTTCTTTCATGCAGTGCTTCCTTGTCCTTTTTGTTGCCTCCAGGTCCAACACTGGTTCAGAACTTGCCCTCCTCGGTGCAGGCTGTGTGTGAGTCCTGGAACAACATCAATACCAATGAATTTCCCAATATTGGATCCTGGGTCAGTCCCTGTCAGCTGTGTGATGAGAAATACTGAGCACTGGCCATCCTGTGTTCTGTTCTTGAGGTGTAGACTGGCCACCAAGAGGTCTTTGTATTGTGCAATGCTGTTTGCTGTGGCCGAATCCATAATCAACAAGTTTAATTATGCAAGTGGTTCTTTTCCTTAGAACTTTGTTCTGAGAGGATAAACTGTTTTGTTTCTCTCAGTCCCGGTTTCTTCTCCTA